GGTCTCAGCCCATCCTCCACACCCCTGCTTAGCCCCTCCTCCATGCTCCTGCCCAGCCCCTCCCACCACAGCCCCCGGTCCACTGTCTGCCGGCAGCCCCGCTCCTGCCGCTGCCACTCCCACGCGCTGACAACACCAGCCTGGCTCGCACCCACTGCTGGCACCCGCCCCAGGCCCCAATCACTCTGCGCTGTCAGCAGGTGCGAGCAGTGGCTGCTGCCCGATCGCCCCTCAGGAGCAGGGGGAAGTGGAGAAGCCCTGAGGGGCGATCGGGGCCAGCAGCCGCCACTTGCACCCGCTGATGTTGCCGAGCAATTGGGGCCGGCACTGGCCCCCAGCAGCGGGTTCAAGTGCTGGCTCTAGTGCTGGCAGCAGGTGTGAGCACCAGGCAGGACCGTGGCGCGTGGGAGCAAAGAATTTTCAGTAACCACCAGAGGCTCGCCCCAATGACAGCGACCAGTACCCCACCTTGGTCTGGTGCCCCTGCTCACCTGTTACACCATCCTACTGTGGCTGATGTCCGTCATGTTCCATGCTCTGCTGCCTCCTGCCGATGCCCGCCATGTTCCGTGCGCGCCCCCTGGTGGTCAGCGCATGTCACAGCACCGGTTCAGTTCTGCCATTCCGTCTATTTACATGTTAGCCTTTTATTATATAGGATGCTTCTTCCAATTAGAAGTCTGGTGTAAACAAGATCAGTCTTTAGATAAGGGAACTAAATTGAGTTCTATATCCATGTATCTTCCCTTGACCTCCTTCTGTACCCCAAGAGACCATAGTGTTTAAGGACAAAACAGCTTATCACAGAAATAATTGATTCTGTAGGTGAGCTAAATAACCTAAGTGCTTCAACAAGAAGTTATCTTGAGAATGCTGAAACTTGAAAATGAAACTGAAATATTTTATTTTTTTAAATATGTTTTTTAAGATTATGGCATCGTCAAAACATTGTGGTGTCTTGTTTACTGCTGCTTGCTGTGCTTATAGCTACGTATTATGTGGAAGGAGCACATCAACAGGTAAGAGGTTCAGCAACTCTGCTTCTCTTCTTGAACCTTTGTTAATCCCAAACAGTTTCAAAGTGGGTTTGTTGTGGATTTCATAGAATTTCTACCCTTAACATTAGGTTTGTTTGTTTGTTTTTATCTCATAATTGGTTTCTTAATGTACTTTTAAGGCCACATATTTAAAATACTCTTGTGGCAGTTCATGGCTGCTCAGCATTTACATTTGGTATATATCCTCCCTTTTTAGCTTCAAGGATTTAAATGTAACTTTCCTGACGGTATTTAGTCAAAGCAGCATGAATCCTTTACTCACTATCAAAGGCTTCCTAGTTTCTTTAACACATTCCTGTGATCCATCCAAATAGATATATTCATCCTAGGTTTAAGTTTAGGTTTTATATATATATGGAAGTTCATTTGCCGGTAGTAAGTACAATATGACTGAAGGGAAAGTAGGACATTTTGTTAATAACTTTTGTTAAAAAGCAAAACATTAATGTATTCGAATACGATATGGTTCTAAAATGATATTTCATATTTTAAAGCAGTTTACCTCTAATCTCAGAAAAGTTTTTATAATTTTAAACACATTAAAAAATATTTTACAGAAATCTGTGTGCTATTAGAATTTGCAGGGAACTGGCTTGATGAATTTATTTGTCAGTGTGAGAATCTAGACTGTATTTTGGCATTCTTCCAGCAAGTCCATCCATATCCCAGGGGACTTCATTTTGCTCCTGTTTGAAAAGCATCTTGGTCTTAAATATACAAAAAATATTTTATTCTCACTTTTTTACTTGGGTAAATAAGAATATAGTATTCTATTCACAAATATTATGTAAATAACTGCCCCTCTCTTACCACTTTATGCTTTCTTAAAGTTTTTGTAACTTTTAAATATCTTGAAAATTTTTATTCTTATAGTTTACCTTATTAGTAACTAGCATTTTTCCTATAAATATTATTGCAGTCGTAGGATTTAAAGGGTCTAGAAACAAGAGTTTTATTCCAACAAGATGGAATTTTTTGTCATCTCTGCTATCATATATTTAAAGGAATTAATTCCCTTCAAAGGGTTTTTAATATTCATACTTTCTATTGGAAACCTATTTAGTTGGTTTATCTTATTTTGATTGTAGTTGATAAATACCACATTTCTGTTTACAAATTCTGGTTTTGGTTTTTCACCTCGACCCTTTTGTTTTTCAGTATGTGCAACGTATAGAGAAACAGTTTCTTTTGTATGCCTACTGGATAGGCTTAGGAATTTTGTCTTCTGTTGGGCTTGGAACAGGACTGCACACCTTTCTGCTTTATCTGGTAAGAATAACTTTTAATAAGCAAGATTAGAAGAGATTGTATTTTTATTGGTATTTTTACTTCAGACATTAAAATTCCAAGATTTTAACTTAATTATCTTTGTGTCTTAAAAGCATTCTAATCCTCAAATCAGTGCTTTGAGTTTTGTTTAGAATTCTGTTTTGTTTTTCCTTTTGGGTTGAGGATTTAAAAATAGAAGCGGGGGGGAGAGAAGGGGAAAAACCTCTTAAGCAAATGATATTGTTTCCTTAAATTTATTTAGCCAGAAAATGTTTTTTGCTTTCCAGATTTTGGAATAATGGTTCTTTTAGTTATGCAATTATCGTTTTAAGAATTGAAGTTATTTAAATGCACAAAATTCCATGAAAGGCTTAGAATTAATTTGGACAGTTTACTTTCTCTGTTAATCAGCCAGTGAGAAACAGTGTCTTCCTTCACACCCTCAAACACTATGTACACACCTGAATCGATATTTTGACGTTCTTATTGAATGTAGCTGATGAAGCATTACATATGTATTACTAAATGCTTTCTTAAATCCTTTTAAACCTAAGTATAAAATGAGCCCCTCCTAAAAAATATTTTTTTTTACTTAGTTGAAATTAGAGAGATAAAAAATAGGTTTTTCTTTGAACATTGACAAATAAACTGGAATAATAGCAGAACCAGGACCAGAGGGTGACGAGCAAGACATCTAGGGCACAGAATTTAATAGGCACTTTCAGGGCATGTCTACCTGTGGGTTGATGAGTGAGTGCCTCATTAAATTTTGTGCCCTGGATTCCTCTCTTGTTTCACTCTATTCTTGTCCTTGGATACATTCACAGCAATTCCACATTTGAAAACAGCTTGATCTTCATTGGGTGGGAGACAGGTGGAAAGTTGTCACAGCAGTACTGATTGCTGAAAAGTGTTAAATACTGCAAACGCTTCCAGTCTCCATGCTTCATGAATTCATTTCTGAAGCAGGCATGAAAAGTATTAAGGAATGATTGTTCTGAAGGCTGCTGAGTTGAGAATTAATCTGTAATTCATAACTTCTTCAAGTTATGGGAGTTTAAAACTTGGAATTTTAGAATTCTGTTCATGATTGCTTGCTGATTTTATTCCAAATAGAGATATAAATTTTAGGGAAGTAACCCATATTTGTGTTTCGTTAATACTACATTTTTAGAATAATGCTACCCTAGAGGTCAAGATAGAGGACAAAAGGAAGGAATTACAGGATACAAGTTACCTTTCTATTCTTTTCTAGACCTGCCCTCTGAGTTTCTTTGGGTAAATTAAGGAACTCATTTGTAGCATTTGATGAATTTAAAAGTATCTGAAGAGTAACCCAGGTAGCAGATTCTGCTATACCTTAAAAGGGATTTTAATGAAGCTTATAAAGTGTGCAGTAAGTTCAAATAAATATCCATGAGAAACAAAACCTTTATAAAATGACATGTTATTCTTGTTCAGTAAGTATAAAAATACCGTCAAGGAGCACCTGAAACTGTGTTGTATTCTAATAACAGCTATATAAAAGCTTTGTAGATTATCACTGCTGATAATGAACTGGGGTCCAGGGTCGATCAGTCCACTTTTTTCACATTAGATAAATTTGAGTTTTGTTTGTTTTGAGTAAATAGTATTATTTAGAATTATTTTAAATGCCCTAAAATTAAATACAAGTAAAATAACCAGACCAGCATTTTATGAATATATAATTCTGGCTTTATATTGGGAGATAGATTGAAGGTAGGAGAGAAGATGAGTAGTTACAATAATCCTTCTGAGAGACACAGGCAAAAAGTATGGCGAGGAAGGGATATTTCCAAAAAAGAATTTTCAAGAGAACTCAAGCTGAATGAAAACAAAAGAGGGCATAAAACTTTTACTATTTCAAGAGTAGTTGGAATGACAGTGGCATTGTAATAAAATAGGTCAAATCTTAGAGAAATTTTATTGGTACAAAGAGATGTATGGGGGAAGAAGGAGTCAAAGATAAGTTGGTTTTTTACCTAAGTAGATATTGACATTATTAATTGAATAGAAACCGTTATGTGTTCAGTTGTTTATTAAGTACTTATTATAAGTACGTATCTGAAAAGTGAAATTTAAAGGGATATTGTAATTATATTGTTAGGTAAATTAAATCTTCACCTGATCCAGGTGGGTTGCTGGTGCCAGTGGTTGGATAGAGCAAAAAGGAAAATTTGTAAAGGACTAAGAACACTTTTTTTTTTAATGAATAGGCTTTATTCCTTAGAGCAGGTTTAGGTTTAGAGAAAAATTGAGCAGAAAAGGACAGAGAGTTCCCATATACTTTTACACACACACACACACACAGTTTTCCCTATTTTTCAAATTTATTTTTCTTAATATTTTAATTGATTTCAGAAAGGAAGGGAGAAGGAGCGAGAGATAGAAACATTAATGATGAGAGTGAGTCCCTGATTGGCTGCCTCCTACATGCCCCCCACTGGAGCCCACAACCTGGGCATGTGCCCTGACCAGGAATCCAACCATGACCTCCTGATTCACACCAGCCTGGCTCAAATTTTTTAAAAATTGCAGTACAATTGACATAACATTAGTTTCAGGTATACAACCTAATGGTAGTTTCCTCTATTATTCACATCTTGCTTTAGTGTGGTACCTTTATTACAATTGAGGAATGAATATTGACACATTATTAACTAAACACATCATTGTTTACATTAGTGTTCACTCTTTTTTTTGTTTGTTTGTTTTGTTTTTATTGCTTAAAGTATTACAAAGAGTATTACATATGTTTCCTTTCCCCCCACCTCTTGACATTCCACCGGCCTCCCCTACCCCCCAGTGTCTTGTGTCCATTGGTTATGCTTATATGAGCGTTCACTCTTTGTATTTTAAAGTTCTATGGGTTTTTACAAATGCATAATGTTACATAACAGCCATTTCAGTACCATACAGAATAGTTTCACTGCCCTAAAAATACCCTGTGATCCACATATTTATTCCTACTGTATTCCTGCCCCCTCACCCATTAACCCTTAGCAAATTTTGTCTTTTCCAGAATGTCATATAGTTGGAATTATTCATTATGTATCTTTTTCTGCCTGATTTCTCTCACTTAATATACGTTTAAAGCTCCACTATTTCTTTTCATGGCTTGATACCTGATTTTTTTTTAATGTTTTTATTGATTTCATAGAAGAAGGGAGAGAAAGATAGAAACATCACTGATGAGAGAGAATCATTGATCAGCTGCCTCCTGCATGTCCCCCACTGGGGATTGAACCCGCAACCCAGGCCTATGCCCTGATTTTTATTTTTTTTATCGCTGAATAATATTCCATTTTCTGGGTGTGCCACCACAGTTTATTTATCTATTCACTTATTAAAGGAGATCATAGTTGTTTCCAGGTTATGGTAATTATTAATAAAGCTGATATAAACATTAGTGTGCAGGTTTTTGTGTGTATATAAGTTTTCTACTTCTTTGGGTAAATACTTAGGGACATGATTTGTGGATTGTGTATATTAATTGCTAATATATAGGAAAGCAGTTGACTTTTGTGTATTATCCTTGTATCCTGCAACCTTGCTATAATCACTTAATAGTTTCAGGACTTTTTTTTTATCAATTCTTTAGAATTTTCTACACAGATAAATCATCTCATGTGCAAATAAAGATAGCTTTATTTCTTCTTTGTCACTTTGTATACCCTTTCATTTCCTTTTCTTGTCTTACTGCGTTAGCAAGATCTTCCAGTATGATGTTGAATACGAGTTATGAGGAGCCATTCTGCCTTGTTCTCAGTCTTAGTGGCAAAGCCTGTAATTTCTCACCATCAAATATTATGTTAGCTATAGGTTTTTTACAGATGTTCTTTATGAAATTGATGAAGCTTCAAGGTTTGTCATATTCTTTTTCACCTACATATTGTGTCAAGATGGAGCCTGAGTCTCTGACTGTGATGAGCAGATTCCCTTTGCCAATCTGTGGTGGATATGTAGAGTAAGCTACTGAGATTTGGGGGTTGTTTGTTATTATAGCCTGTCCTGACCGATAGACTAGTTAGCATTCATTGAATTTGCTGTGCTCTCTGCTCAGTACTTTACATGAATTATTTTATGTAGCTCTCCCAAGAGCCAAGGTAGTTAATAGCAAATGTGTAATAAAAAATTTTATCAGCAAGTATAGACTATCCATTTGTGAACTTTGGCAGTTATATAATAGAGAAAAATAGCCAGGAAACCAGAGGCAAAGGAGAATCAAATAAAGGTTTAAAAACTTGATCTATGTTATTATTTAAGAAGTCATTCCAAATAATCTCTGGTTATATTGTAAAAACACTTTCTTGATGATAGAAGGTCAACAGTTTTATCCTTATAGCTCACCACTCCTTTTTTGTTGTCAAATATATTTTTATTGATTTCAGAGAGGAAGGGGGGGGGGGAGAGAGAAACATCAGTGATGAGAAAGAATCATTGATCAGCTGCCTCCTGCACGTCCCCCACTGGGGATCGAGCCCGCGACCCAGGCCTATGCCCTGACAGGGAATCAAACTGTGACCTCCAGGCTCATAAGTCAACACTGAACCACTGAGCCAGCCGCACCAGCTGGGCCACCATTCCTTTTGTTTTATATTTGTGAAATGTGATTGTGTTTGGAAAGTCCTAATTATACCTTCTTTCATTTATGAGGCATTACATAATCCTCACTTAGGGAGATGTGATGTTAACATTCTCATGTTATACATTTTTGAGTTTAACTTCTAGTTAAAAAAAACAAGTGACCATGTTAGGAGAATACAACTAAATGTTGATCTGAACGTGTTATTTATTTCCTAAAATATTAGATACCTATATATCTGCCTTTAAAATGGGAAGTTTGTCTTGATTTTTAAGTTTATCAATAAGCAATTTTATTTATTCTGTATTAGTTTCAGGTGTGCAGTATAGTGGTTAGACAGTCATATACTTTACAAAGTGGTACCCCCAGTATTTCAAGTACCCACCTGACCCCA